CGTCCCGTTTTGCATGCTTCTCGGAAGCAAAATGAGCAAGAACGCTCGGCTTCAAATTTAGTCTAGCAAGCACCAAAGGAAAACATGAAACATTTAAAATGTCCTTTTCAATTGATTTGCTTTACAGTTCTTGGTGATGTTTGTCAAAACCGGAGGCAAAACGTTATTGTTTTTGTTAGTTGAGCTAGAGGAACACGTTCGAACACAAAGCGGGGATTAAAAGCGTAATAGCGGTCCAGTTAGTAGGAGCGCGGCCGATTTAGGGGCGTTTATCAACTGGAAGAAATACGACATCAATTTTACCTTTTTACCTCTTCATTTTTTGGGGGGATGGTAATGACGCCCGTCAGGTCAGTCTGTGAGTAATATCCTCTAGTATACACTGCAAAAAATCGGTTTTTCTATGGTGAAAAAATTAATTAAATTTTTCGGTTTGTATAACATATGCGACAATTTATTCAAATTTCGTCTGAGGCTGGTACTTAAAAAAGCTCTAGTCCTGATCAAGCAAAAAAATGAAGCATGATTTACGTGAAAAATTAGGTTGGAAAACGAGGACAGCTTTTCCCCGACAACCTGAAAGTGTATTAAACACATCTTGAAACTGTTTTACGGCCAGTTAACTTTCAACTAAATCATAAAATCCGAATTTAATCGCCATAAACTTTGTAGTAAATCGGCCCGTTACACATTGGCCGACGCATAAACGGTTTGTTTAATATTTTCCCTGTCCAAATTGTAGACTCGTTTATTGGAACATTTTTTTTTGAAATTCTGTCCATGCGCTTAAGACACTCTGTCTATAGTGTGCATTGAAATAGTGAGATGAATCGAACCTATTAATAAATAATATTATTATGATTATAATATTAAACCGCCCCAAATCTGCAATTGAGCTCAAACAAGCTCACTTTTCAAGAAAAAACGCAAGTTTTTCCTGTTTGATAACCTGGAATTTCCGATCATTCCTTGAACTTTTAAAAACGAACTTTGGAAAATTGGCCAAATACCAAATACTTAAGCTAGCAAGGAAAATATTTTTCAGTCTTTTTTGTATCTGGGCTTATATACGGTTTTTTATATTTCTAGCTACTTACAAGCGATTTTTTATGCCAATTTAGCGCAGCCAAGCGGGATTCTTTAGCCCATTCGGTGTAAGTGCGGGATTTCAAAAAGGTCTTTGAAAATTTACGATTCGTTTTCTCGAAAAGGGCTTTCAATTCGTTTTTAAATTAGTTTGAATAATGAGACAGTGTTAAGAACTTGGCTTGGAGTTGGCCGGACTTCAATTATTTTTCAAACAAGCGATTTTTAGAGGCACTTTACGCAAATGAGCAAAATTCTTCGCGACATCGCGATCCGATTAAATTTTTGTCTCCTAACCATCAGAAATGGCTTATTTCCGTAGCCATCTGATAAATATTAAATGAATCAAGATCGAATAGTTTTGCGCTTTGTCGTGTAATTTATCGTGGCAGGAGCTGCCAGCGAAATTCCTGAGACAACTTGCTATTTATTTTCGGCAGACGAAATCGCAAAGAAAGAATTTGTTTTTGTCTCAGCGTCTATTTAGCCGGAAAACAACTACAGCTGTATAATCGGGAAAAACGTTTTAAACAGATATGCACTTACGAACAGCAATACATACGGGGAATGATGCCCCAACAGTTTTCCGCTCAAGTGCGCGCTTGCTTTAAGAAAATTCCAACTTCAGATTTGCACATCGTATAAAAGAAATTTGAAGCTATAAAGTTTGAAATTTCACTATAATCGCTAAAAATACTGACTTTTGTCCACCTTTTTTATTATGAGCCAAAAGTGGACATTTTCGCTAAAGTGAGCTAGCCCGGAAGGATATTACTGAAAGTTAGAGACTCGCACTGTGTAACTTTGTTTATATTTGTACAAATATTTCGATTTCCATCAGTTAAGATGTTTTAGAACATATGTAGCTATTTTTCAAAACTATAATAATTCAACTAAAAGCATGTGGCTTGGATAAGTCTTGGCAGGTCACTTTGCCACAAAGCGCAAACCCAATTTGTCCGACACTGTTTATTTCGGAAACATTTCACATTTGCCTAATGAATTAATATGTCGCAAATGAATGCATCGTAGAATCGAAAAGCCGTTACCAATAACGAAGCCCAGCCAAGATTAATGTTGGATACGTCAAAGAAAGTTAAACAGATTCTTAACAAGTGCTGTTCAAGTTGAACGCTTAATAATCCACATTTGCCAAGTTCATGAAGAGTAATGATCGGATTGAAGAAGTCATACTCTAATTGCAATTGGATACAGTTGACTGGCAAATCTAAAATCGCCCTGGTTAAACTGCTTAGTAAAATAATACTCAGAATTTTCAAATTCAAGTTTAAGAATTCGTTTCACTAGACTAGATTAAGCAGATCGTGGTGTCGTTTCAAAAATAGCCCATATCGCCAAACACAATTTACCGGCAAAATAAATATTTTGGTTTTTACACTGCTTGCGAACTGAACGCTCGAAAAAGCAGAAAACAGATTTTTTCCCAGCATTTTCTAGTTTATCTAGAAATTATTTTTGGCCGCATATTAGAGGCGTTGAGCGATTTATCTGCTCTATACAACAATGTTTTCACTTCATATACGTGTTAAGCAGATCGTAAACCAGAGCAATAATAGCACGCTACTTATTACTTATTACATTCGCTGTTCATTAAATATGGATAGTTTACACGGATATATTAATTGAGAAATTTGCCGGCGTTTATTAATGAGTTGGTTGAGTTCGATTCTAGACCGTTTGCTATATTTATCCAGAATTAATTTTTTTATTCCAAAGTTATTTGAAAATTTGATGGAAAAATTAGCATCTTCAAATGTTCAAATATCTAGGGAGTTTGAGAGAGCAGATTTACTTTCCGTCAAAACTGAGAAATTTAGAATTTTTTGCCTACCAAAATTTTAACTTGTGTCTAGAAAAGTATAAACGAACAACTAAACTCGTGTAAAAAAGCTTTGCGGTGGAAACCTGAACAATTTTTTTGTACTTAAAGACAATTTTGCATAGATGATGGGCAATTTCAGCTGCTTACCGCTTTTCCACATATCGTCTACACATCCAAGATTAACATAAAAGTATTGTACTTCTAATGTGTCATGGTTATCTATCCTGTGTTAGGGCGCGTTCATGACGGAGAAAGCAACGTTTCCGGCTTTGTTGAACTCAACTGACGGCGGCAGCTCCTGTCATTAGCAGTCAGTTTTTAAAGACTTTGAAACTTGCTTAAAACGCTTTAGTTTAACCAGAAAATAGTTTTGTGAAGTAAACGCTTGGTGCATTGAACAGTTATGTAGTATGTTCTTAACCCTTAAAGGGGGAACAGGTTGTCTACAAGGCGCAAACGTTTGGTAGACTTGGAAACCTATCGGGAGCTAATTGTGAAGACTTGGAACCTTTTCTACACCCTGCAGGCTCTTAGTACAAGATCTTCTACCAGAAGGTAAGTTTTTTTCCAATATTTAACATTTAATAGGAAAAATCTTCACTGGGAAATGTCAAATTTGACAATCATGTTTTATACCGAACACATTGTGGAAAAAAGTTTTTTGGAACCCAAAATTCGAAATTTGGATTGTGAAAGTAACCGATTTACCTGACAGTGGAATCATTTTAAAATCGTACGTAACTACAAACTTGATCAATGAGTCGAAAATGACACCAATTTTCAATTGTTTTATTGTCTATATACAGGGTGTATCAGCCTGCTGGTAAATTAACAGTAAGTTGATTTACATTTGTTCGGGTCTTTAGGCTTGATAACAAAGACATTTTCAAAAATTCCGTTGAAAAATGTTATAATAATGGGCAAATTAAATAAAAATAATCAATTGTGCTTACCATTATCTACTTCTGGATCATCGTACGGACACGACCTGAATATGTACCTCTTGCAAAGATTTCGGATTCCCGGAGCCGAAAAACAGCAAAACAGAACAATGATGGTTAGCACCGCTAACATTACAATAAGCGTCGCATATCCTTGGTTAGTGTTCGATGCTGAAGTGCTCTTATTAGACGACCCCGGTACATGACCCTCTAAAAAAAAAACATTTTCGGATTAAACAATTCGGGAAAAACTTCCAATTTGGAACCAAAAGCGTGAATTTACCACTTTCTCAGATAAATTAGTTGAATAAAAGGGTTTTTTGCTTTCAATAACATCGACTTTTTACAAGCATAACCGAACCACTTCGCTTAAAACGTGCAACTAAGCTTAAATTACATTGGCGGTACCAGTTCATTTTTTACTGAACGCAAATAACCCCCTCAAAAGATTGAAGCTGTTATTATATGCTTCAAAAAATCGTAATGGGACATTGATGCATTTTCTGCAGATGCAAAGCCTTTGGTAAGTTGCTACTGTGAGCACAACTTGAAGAAATCGGATTCACGGCTGCAGGGGCGGATCCAGCTTTAAAGTCAGGGGGGGGG